CCCCCCCCTCCTCTCAGAGGGGGGGGGGGGGGGGTGTTCTGCAGTCCACAGAAACAGCTGAGAACAATGGTAACAGTACAGAACAGGCAGAGTGTACAGGAAGTTATGAACTCGCAATATTTCTGGCAGGATTTTTTGCACTAGAACTCCAAGACTCCAGGAAGAAAAAATACTCACCCGATTCCTGTGGTAGTGACCCCACACCTCTTGGGGATCGGGTGAGCATTTCTTCTTTATTCCGTCCCCTGGAGAAAAACAAGCACTTAACCCTCGCAGAGCGGATGTAGCCCCAGTGCAAGGGTTAACTCTGAAAAATCCTGTTTAACAGACCAGAGGGGAGCAAAGACGAGAAGTTCATTGATGGGGTTTATATGCATTATAAAGAAGCAAAAAAGTTGCTTTGTGTGTAAACTCTACAAACAGAAATCCCAATGGGGCAAAATAGAATGTTCTTAGTGATTCCGATGTTCTTGGTGTATATACTTTTCTGGTCGAATGTTCTTACATTTTTCTTCTTTATACATATTTCTAAAGCTGAACTCTGGGATGAGCAAATAATGTCCTCATACAAGAGTCATGGGTGATCTTCTTGAAACTAGGCAAGCTTTGTGTATTTCTTTCAGATCTGTGCAGTAACCCAGTGTGACACTTGGCGCTTCCTGTAATAAAGACCGCTCACTGCTCTTCTCTCTCCTTGTGCAGGGTGACTGGTCTTGTTTCCGCCCCCTCCTGTAATAAAGACCGATCACTGCTGTTCTGTCTCCTTGTGCAGGGTGACTGGTCTTGTCTCAGCCCCTTCCTGTAATAAAGACTGTTCACTTCTGTTCTCTCTCCTTGTGCAGGGTGACTGGTCTTGTCTCCACCCCCCTCCTGTAATAAAGACCGATCACTGCTGTTCTGTCTCCTTGTGCAGGGTGACTGGTCTTGTCTCAGCCCCTTCCTGTAATAAAGACTGTTCACTGCTGTTCTCTCTCCTTGTGCAGGGTGACTGGTCTTGTTTCCGCCCCCTCCTGTAATAAAGACCGCTCACTGCTGTTCTCTCTCCTTGTGCAGGGTGACTGGTCTTGTTTCCGCCCCCTCCTGTAATAAAGACCGATCACTGCTGGTCTCTCTCCTTGTGCACGGTGACTGGTCTTGCCTCTGCCCCCTCCTGTAGTTTCCTGTAGTGGGTGGGGCCTACTGGGTCCCTCCCACAGCTCTGCTCCCTGCACAGGCTATGTACAGAACAGTGATGATGTCACTGCTACTTTTATATGGTAAAATGTATTTTTGGGCATTTGGAGCACACAAAATGAATTTAAATGCTTTGTGGCTATTGAGGAATATATCAAGATGAAAGTTTTGGTGCCCGGAGTTCAGCTTTAAGAACATTCGACCAGAAGAGGAAATAGCCTTAAGAACTATTCGATTTTGCCCCATTCTCACAGCAGCTGGATGATTCACCCAAAACGAGTTTGCGTGCAGTTGCACTGGACATACTGTATAGCTGTGTGTTCATCTGTGATCGTATCTAAAAACCAGAGAGAGTTTTTTCTGATATGAAATTAGACATCTGCTATGCTGAAAGTAAAACTTAAAGGGCAACCATCATACGAATACAGAATGAGATGTGTATTTATTTATATTCTCACCTGAAGTCCCATTGAGGTGGTCCAGACAACACCCCAAATTCACAGGTTTGGGCAAATCTGAAAAACATATTAAAGAGCTCCAATCAGAACAGGTCAATGATAAAGTGTGAGCAGATATAATTATGTAGTGATTATGTTATAATAAGGATTGATGTTCAGTCTCCTACAGATCCTGCCACGGCCAATCAGGAGACATATCTTCTGATCATTGTCATGGGCAACTGGTAGACAGCCCTCGATATTGGCGCAGCATTAAATTGTGATGAAAAGAAATTTGGTCACATGACAAAAAACTTCAATAAATGAAGCTTTTGCTATCTTAAAAGGATTGGTGTGCTGGTGACATTTCTACAATTGCTGACATTCGCGGCGCCATCCGCGGTCACTGCGAGCACACCCCCCCCCCCCTCACTACAATGGGTATCGGTAAGGAGTGCCACAAGGATAGTACTTATTAAATTGTGATGAGCCGCGTAGCTCAGCATTAGAGCTTTGCTTCATTGTGCTTCAGCCACGCACCCCTCCCCCGCTGCATTACTTACCTGTGTGTCCTCCATGCCTGACTCCAGTGCGCCCACTGCACCCAGTACACCCAGTATACCCGATGTACCCAGTGTCTCCAGTGCACCCAATATATCTAGTGATACCAGTGCCACCAGTACATTTAGTGGCACCAGTGCCCCCAGAACATCTGGTGACACCAGTGCCCCCAGAACATCTGGTGACACCAGTGCCCCACCGTGTGTCCCGTGACTCTAGTGCACCCAAGAGCATATTGTGTTATCTATTGTCCCCAGAGCCTCCTGTACGCTCCCTGGGTCCAGTCCACCCCAGAGCCCCTGTGACCCGGTGCACCCTGCAACTTCAGCAAACCCCACAACATGTGATGCCGGTGCGCCCTGTCACTCAAGCACACCCCAGAGCATCTTGTATTATCTAGTAACCCCAGTGCCTTTTTGTGCACCCCATGACTCCAGTGCACTCCAGAGCATTCTGTGTCATCTAGTGACCCCAGTGCCCTCTGTCTGCTTCCTGACTCCACTGCACCCCAGAGCATCCTGTGCCCTTTCGTGGCCTGGTGCGCTTATGTGTACCCTGTGACTCCAGTGCACCCCAGAGCCTTTGTGTGTCATCTTGTGACCCCAGTGCCCCATGTGTGTTCCCTGACTCCACCCCAGAGAATCCTGTGTTCTTTAGTGACCTGGTGTGCCCCTGTAAACCCTGTGACTCCAGTGCACCCAGAGCATCCTGTGTCATTTAGTGACCCGGTGCACCCCTGTGTACCCTGTGATTCCAGTGCACCTCAGAGAATCCTGTGTTATCTGGTAACCCCAATGACCCCTGTGTACCCTGTGATTCCAGCATACCTGAGCATCTTGTGTCATTTAGTGACCAGGTGTACCCCGTGACTTTCCGTTGCCTCACGTAACTCCAGTGCCCCTTGTGCCCTCCCTGGCTCCAGTGCACCTCAGAGCAACCTGTGTCATCTAGTGACCCCAGTACCCTCCTGTAACTCCAGGACAGGCCAGAGCATCCTGTGTCATCTTGTGACCCCATTGCCCCCTATGCACTCCCTGACTCCAATGCACCCGGAGCATCTTGTGTCATTTAGTAGCCCGGTGCCCTCCTGTGCACCCTGTGACTGCAGCACATCCCAGAGCATCTTGAGTCATTTAGAGACCCGGTGCACCCCTGCTGTAGTTCCCGTCAGCCTGTCATTGCTTTCTACAGGCTGAGTGGCCACAACTGTCCAGAACCAGCCATAATATCAGCCCAAGAATCTGCTGCCTGTATAATAATCATAATAATAATAATAATTAAAAATATAGTATAGTGAATGTTATTCTATCAAATGAGCTTGTCTTCAATGTACAATTAATCGTACAATTCATACATGCAGAAGCTGATAGTAGGAGATCTAATAGGAAACCATCAGTAATACATTTTCAGTATTCACTACTTCATATAGTGTATGTGCAGCCAGTTTGGAATAGAATGAGGAAACATTGGAACTTATTGTAGTTTCACCACAGCTGGAGTGCCGAAGTTGCCCCGATCACAGCTGTTGGAATGGAAATTGTTTTTGCAAAACTACTCAATGCTTTAACACAAAGTGTAGAAATGACACATATTGTAATGCCACCAGGCCGCTCTCTCCCGTATCAGCGACGGCTTCCCTGCGTTCCACTGTGGAACGCGGAAGCCGCACGAGTTCCTGCTCGTGACGCAGCGGCTGCGTTCCACGCTGGAACGCGGAAGTCGTTCGGGACGAATAGCAGCTCCTCCCACTCCCAGGCACTATTTAAGAGCACCAACGAGGCAACATGGCGTTCCAATATTGAGGTCAGAACGCCTGCTGCCTCCTGAACCCGCTACCTCGTTTTGCTGTCGAGACAATCCCTGGACCTGCTGCTACCTTGCTGTACCCTGTGGATGCCCTCAGCTCTGGAGCTTATCACTGCAATCTCCAATACACAAAACCGCAAGTACTGCTCCTAGTGGAGCATTTTCCTCAGCAATACAATCCCTGGTTAATACATGGACTGTCTGGTTTATATTGTAAACGCATCCGGGGCTTACCGTTACAATCACCATTTACTGTTTTAGTTGTGCCTTGTGCCTGGTTATGAGTTAAATAGCCTTTGATTACTGAACCCTATGCTTTGGCTGTGATGTCTGAATCTCAAACTCGCCGTTAAGATTGCGAGTGACGCCTGAGATTCATACCTGAGTAGCCTTTTTTGCCAACTACCCCTCCGCAGTTGTGATCCCAAACCGTGAAAGTTCTTAGAGGCGTGACACATATGACCATGGGCACTTTATCAAAGTTTTATATTGGATTGGATTCATAATGGATTGAATTTCAGAGAGCAGATGAGTATAAGTCTTTGATTTAATCGGGACAACACAGTTCTATAAATATATTGGTTATAAGGTTTGGCCCTACTACAGAGGTCTTGCAACTTTGCAATCAGAGATTGTTGATCCCGGGAATATCCGATTGCCTTATGGGGTCAGGAAGGAATTTTTTTCCCCATTTGGAGCAAATTGAACCATGCTTTATAGAGGGGGGGGGGGTTGCCTTCCGCTGGATCAACAGGGGGTAATTGTGGGCATAGCGTTCTGTTTAGGTTTTATTTTTTTAAATCTCTATAGGTTGAACTCGATGGACATGTGTCTTTTTTCAACCAGACTAATTATGTAACTATGTAGCTTCTTCAATTGACAGCCAGATCCTAGGGACTTTCCTTTCTATTCAACCCTTATTTCCCCTTATTTTTGCTTCTATTCGTGTCTCTTATTTCCCTTATTAGCCCTTCTTGACTGTCCTGGCTGGATGCCAATGGTGGTGGACAGTGATGGAAAGCTATGGTTCCTGTAAGCCTGTCATTGCTTTGTATGGGCTGAGCGGCCGCAGCCATACGGGACCACCCGTGATTCAAGCCACAATAGTCCACAGACAGCCCTAATATCCAGGTGTGAATGAGCCCTTATAAGCAGGGCCGGTGCTAGTCTAATTTGCGCCCTAGCAAAACCAGCTACTTGCACCCCTCCTTCCTCCGATCACAGACTGGCTGAAGTTTGCAGGAGACGGCTTTGTCTCCATCGACCATCCTCCAATCCTGTGAGGAAGCTGCTGGTCATGGCTGGGTCCAGGGCGGGATTAAGAGCATCCTGGGCCTGGTGCTGAGCAAAATACCCCTTGTGTCACCTTTCCACTCTAAATAAGCTATTGGAGTGTAGATTGCGAACGGACACAGGAGGGGCAGCGGAGCCTGGGAAACACGGCTGGGTGTCAGTCAATTGGGCGGCGGTGGGCATTGTACTGGCCTCTGGAAGCGATCTGGCGGCAGCTGAGCCCCCGGGAATCGCTTCCATTATAAAGCCAGCTTCTGCCTTTACAAATGTAAATGGAGTCCGTTTAAACGAGCCCGCTGTCACAGTGAAAAGGTCCAGCCCTGGCTGCGCCCTAGGCGGCAACCTAGTTTGCCTAGTGGCAGCGCCGGCCCTGCTTATAAGTGGCAACAAAACCAAACCAAATGGCAACAAACCGGAACTGCCACTTCTACGCACATGCCGGGACCAGCTATCATAGCCAGTAACTGTGACCGGCAACTAAAAACAAGACTAAGAATATACTGCTGTATAGAAGATGACACAGTCAGAAGAAAGCACAGCAATCATCTGCAAATTCCGGTATCACAGCATAAAGCACGTGATATTATGTAACAATATTAACTGTAGAAATAAAAATAATAATCACATTTTAATTGTAGGTCTTCCTTTTTGGCAGAGGTGTCGATCTTCTTCTCCCGTGTCGGCACCGCTGGTGTCCTGGTGAGGTCACTTACATTCTCATAATCATCGTCATCGTCGTCGACCATGCTGCACGCTGAGGATGGACACACAGTGGGAGACATTTATTAATTAATAAGTGACAAAGTCGGACACAAATCAGGCCGCCCCTCATTTAACAAAGATGGGATCGTTATATATTTGCGACCACTGGGCAGGAAACTGCGTCAGATTTGCAAAGGTCTGTGGCAGACTTAGCACATGAGCTAATACAGAATTTTGTTCTCTTTACATTTGCAATCTCATAGAAAACCTCAAAGTCTACTCATCATTATTATTATTAGTATTATACAGGATTTATATAGCGCCAACAGTTTGCGCAGCGCATTGCTCCTGTTTAGCATTGCTGTGTTGTGAATTCATTAATGTCCCCCATAGACTGCAATACTTCTCATAACAACATCAGCTGTAGATGGTCTCCAATTTACCAATTCATTATTATCTTTCTTTCTTTATCTCTTTCTCTGGTCTGGAATAAAAGTTATGTCCTGCATGGGTCTAAAAGACATGTATGTATCAGAGCTCTACATTCCTCTACATGATACAGCCAGCACTCTGTTCCCATAACCACTCTACTGACCCATACACACTACCAGCCACCTATATACTGGTACAGAATTGCAGATACCGACTGTATGCATCAGTGCTCTGTGTTCCTCTATACACTACACTCAGCACTCTCTTTTTATACTTATTCGGCTAACCTGTACATATGACCAGCACCTCTGAACGCACTGACAACTTTTCATAGATCTATTTACTGTTTCTGTTTTCTACATACACAGGGCCATAAATGTTTACCATTTCATACTCCATAGACCAATCCACTCTATCAGGCCTTTATAGACCACTCAACTCAATGAGCACTCTATAGACCACTCCACTCTATGAGCATACTATAGACTACTCTATCAGCATTCTATAGACCACTCCCCTCTATCAGCACACTATAGACCACTCCACTCTATCAGCATACTATAGACCACTCCACTCTATCAGCATACTATAGACCACTCCACTCTATCAGCATACTATAGACCACTCCACTCTATCAGCATACTATAGACCACTTCCCTCTATCAGCACACTATAGACCAAGGAACAAAAGAAAGCGCCTCCATAGTGTAAAAGAGTGGTTTAATACTAAAGACACGCAGCTCTAAGGCTGTACTTACAACAATTCAGTTGAATAAAAACCAGTAGAGTAGGATGAGAAGTCGGAACCTCTGGCATGGAGAGTCTGGAGTGATAACATTCACCGGCGTCCTCTATCCCTGTGTTAGCAAAAGGTTTACGCGTTTCTGGTGCACGCCCCCTTCATCAGAACCTATCATAACCTATCATTCGTGTTTGCTGCATCCAATTGCTGGCCAACCTGTAATTGAAGGAGCCGGTATTTTTTCCTCATTTCCTACTATAGACCACTCCACTCTATCAGCCCTCTATAGACCACTCCCCTCTATCAGCCCTCTATAGACTACTCTACTCTATCAGCAACTCTATAGACCATTTCACGCTATCAGCAACTCTACAGACCACTCTATCATCCCTCTATAGACTGTCCTACTCAGCACTCTATGGACCACTGTACTCTATCAGCACTCTAAAGAGCATTCCACTCTATGAGCTTTCAAAAAACCACTCCACTGTATCAGCACTCTCTAGAATACTCTACCTCTCTTCTTTATCAGCTCTTATAGTATAGGCCACTCCACTCTATTAGCACTTCATAGACCACTCTGTTACTCTACTCTTTCAGCCCTCTATAGACACTCTATACAGTAGACTACTCTACTCTATCAGCAACTCTATAGACCACTCCACTCTATCAGCAACTCCATAGATCACTCTATCAGCCCTCTATAGACACTCTATAGACTATTCTACTCTATCAGTACTCTATGGACCACTGTGCTCTATCAGCACTCTAAAAAACGAATCTGGTCCATCAATGCACAATAGACCACTCCACTCTATCAGCACACTATTGACCACTCAACTCTATAAACACTCTATAGACTACTCCAATCTATCACCACTCTATGTATCAGACCACAATGCATGAATTTATTGAGGAAACTTCCATGATAACACACTTCCACACATGTGCAAAGTAAAACCTACTCCAGTCCATCAGCTTAGAGACATGAGAGAGGAAGGGACATCAAAAGTTGTCTTTTTGGCAAAATGAGACCAAATGTGTACAACTGCATAACCAGAATTTTAGGAGAAGAGCAAAGAACAAGAAAAAAGGGGAAGGAAAGACAAGAATAGAAAAATCTATGTATTATAGCCGGGTACATTAAACTTTGAAAAAACATAACTTGAATGTATTATTTGTTAATTTTGTTTTATAATGTTGACCGTATGTATGAATTCATGGGCACTGGACAGAGAAGGTGACTTCCTGTGTCTGGGGATAATACCTTTGGCCACATTTAATATTTGTTTTAGATTTATGGGAAAACACTACCCAAGGGTCTACTGAAGTTCACCTTGTGAGAAGTTTCCAACCGATATAAAAGACCATTTCCTGGCATTATCATATGAATTTACGGGATCTCAAGTCAGTTTGTAACACGTCTCATGTTGTTGAATGCTAACTAATGAGATATGTGAAAAGAAATGTTCAAAATCCAAATGCATGTGTCCTTCTTTATCATTACATAAGTTCTTCATAGCAGAAAGGTCTACTGTAGATCTTAATGGAGGGGGCTGTGAAGACAAAAAGTGTGATAGCTGGCTATATTTCATAAACCTTTAAGTGTATTTTACAAATGGGTCCCATAAGAAGTCTAAGGAACTAAGATAATAGTTATTTGTTAACTCCTTCATACTCACCCTCACTCACCCTCATAGTTCGAGCCGTCCTGTTACTATGAAACTGTCACACGTCTGCTCAATAGATCGGGAAGTGAGCGAACGCATACCGTCGCTCGCTCACTTCTTGATCCTATCCCTGCAGAGAACGGTGACTGTCACTCACGGCTCCCTGCCGGGATTTCCCCCTCCCCTGTCCGATCCTCCAGCGCTGACTGGCAGAAAGGACACCCCCCCCCTGTCCGATCCCCCAGCGCTGACTGGCAAAAAGGACAGGGGAGGGGGCGGGTACAGCTGGCTCTGCCTCTAGATAGGCAGAGCCAGCTGTCAGTCACGCAGCTGGGCAGATCCAGACATAATTTTTGGGATCCGCTTCAGCTGCCGTGTCTTAGTATACCGCGAGCAGCACCTCGCAGTATACTGCGGCGTCTCAGTATAGCTCGCGGTATACTGAGCCTAGGGTGACGGGAGGACGTCACCCTAGGCTTATGTACAAAATGTTCAGTGGTGATGGCAACATCAGCAATAAACCTTTTACAGTAAACTCCATAACAAGGACTAGAGGCCACAACCTAAAACTGGTGGAGAAAAGATTTAACCACAAGGGGCTTTGTTTCAGTTAGAGTGGTTAAAGTCTGGAACATGCTGCCACAAGCAGTGGTATAAGCAGAGAGTATTGAATCATTCAAAAAGCATTTAGATAACTTCCTCAGAGCCCGTAACATACAGGGGGTACAGGTACACTTAAAAACAAGGAGAGAAAGGGACTCGGGTACACATATACAAATGCAAATCACAGACACACAAAGGTTGGACTTGATGGACCTGTATCTTTATTCAACCTCAAATACTATGTAACTATGTAACTTTCCTATGCAGCAATACAGGTTTTCTTTTATTGCTAGAAACATTTCCATAGGGAACGTTCTTGCTACAGTATTTAAGATATAATTGAACAATGGTCATTTTGTTACAGTGGGGGGAATTTATCTAAGCCATTGCAACAGTTTTAGCCTCTTAGATAATTGTTTTAATGTGCAAATCTGTCTTTTAACATGTGCCCCTGTTTTCACCTGAGCTTGCACTACTTTTTCAACTGCACGTTTTTTGTACCCGTTTTTATCTGCACCTGTCCTGCGGCTGTCTGAAACTGGAGCATCACCTAACAAAACAATCGCTACTTAAGAAGACCCCATGGTCACTTCTTCAAGATGCGACAGTTCAGCTTTTTGCCCGGAGTTACGAGTCTTCTTTCCTGGAGTCTATTAAACCTCATTTATCAACAACATTACACTCGCATCATAAATCTGGCGCAAATATATTCCGTGAAAGTTCAAACACTCGCAATTACTATGATAACTTCCCCCAATGTCTCTTAACTGTACACCTCCCCGGTCTATAAAACAAATTGGTGTCATTATAAAACACTGAATTTGACATTCACCAAACATTTATGGCAGGTGAGTCAGCCACTGTTACTTAAAACACACGCACCAAGAAGATTCCCCTGACATAAAAGGCAAAAAAATGTAATAAATAAATAAGTAAAATTAATGACCCAAAAGTGGATTGCGACCCCATGTGTTCAGTGGGTCACCGCATGCCTTCCACTTTTCTAGGTGAGAGGCTCCTCAGCCTCCTCCTAGGGCAGCACTGTCCATTCTCACACCAAGCAGCCATTCAAAATATGCTGCCTGGTTCCAAGTGTCAGCTTGAGGTGGGGTGGGATGGGGCTATGGTCGCAAGGCACCTCCACAGGGCATGCAACAAGCAATGCACATATGAATGGAGCTCCATCACAGCGTTGAACGTTCAGGTGTGAACCAGGCCCTATGTGCTGAACCCACATTGATATATTTTTTGGACTTACCTCTTCTATATCATAAAGGTGTATGTGATGAAGATGTCAACCTGCTGCCGACTTAAGCTCTGCCTTGTGTGGCCACCAAACATTTACAGTTAAATAGCAGAGCCGTAGCTGGCTCCTTTTGCACCTGAGGCAAGAACAGAAAATTGTACCCCCCAACAGACGTGTGCGGTATATGTGACGTCATGCACCCCGCCTCCAGGATGGGGGTGCGTATGTGCAGAATGCGCTGGTGGCCAAATCCAAAATAGCATAAAAACTTGTTTCGCTTGATGAAAACATTTTTAGTTTCCGTTCATTTTCTCAGAAGCTAATTTGTAGTCTTTGCACATGTCTAGTAATATGTATGCGTGTGTGTTTTTCTTTTGCTGTTGGCGGGCTTTGGGGAAATATTGGGGGTCTAAACAGACCTGTGACATTTGCATTTTGAAATAGAAAAAGAGATTGAGGACACAGAGTCCTCTGCCCATACAGAATGGAGGAGAGAAGTGGGGATCTGAGGAGAAGCTGGAGCCTGTGCCGCTCCTCTTCTCCCTGCCGAGCCACGGCTGTGTTGGTCGCACGGTGCCCCTGTTACCAATGGCGCCCTGTGCTCCCCATGGCAACAGGGGCGAGGGGGCGCAGCCAGGTTGGCCCTGGTTGCGCCTCCTCTCAGCTGCGCCTGAGGCGAGTGCCTCTCTCGCCCCATGGTAGCTACAGCCCTGGTTAGATATGACAACAAAGCCAACAGATGTCATCAACCAGTGACTGCCACCTCTGTGTACATGATACCAGTACAAACTGTCAGCAATTGCTACTAGTCAATAAGAGCAAGGCTAAGATATAAACTCCAACTGAGAAAACAACATAGCAATAGTCAGTAAATGCCAGTGCCCAAGCATAGAGCCCATTAATAATACAATGACATAAAGCAATAATAACAATAAGAAGAATAAAACGAAGAAGTAGAAGAATTACGTTTTAGTTGCAGGTCTGTCTTCTTCCCTGTGGCGCCGATGTTCTTCCCTTGAGTTGGCACCGCAGGCGTCTTGCTAATGTCGCTCAGGTTCTCATAATCATCCTCATCGTCATCAACTATGCTGCGGGCTGAGGACGGACAGACATTAGCTGCATCACTGCTCCCAATAACATCAGCTGGAGAAGGTTCCCAACTCAGCAATCCCTGTTACCTTTCTTCATTCGTCCCACCGATTTAGAATAGAAGTCCTGCATTCTGTAAAGGGTGTTCTCAGCACACTGTCAGCATTGAAGGTACACCCTATACAACTTTCCAGAAGAGTCGCTACCTATGTATCAGAGCTCTACAGTCCTGTTCATGCTACACTAAGCTCTCTATTTCTATAACTTTACTGACATGTGACTTTACTGACAGAAATGTGAGTGCTTATGTATTACTGCTCTCCAATGCTCTACAAGCTACACTTGGCACTCTATGCCATAAGCACTTTATTGATCTGTAGGCATGATCAACACTTTAAATGCTTGTCCATAAGGACAACACTGTCTAGGTCTCTTTACTCTTTTAGTACTAGCAGAACTAAAGGCCTGCCCACAGTATCAAGATTCTCTGTGCCCTTCCAAAATGATCAATGCCACTCTACTCAATCAACACTCTCTCGAATACTCAACTCTGCCAGCACTCCATATACCACTCTACTCTATCAACACTCTATAGACTAGTCAACTCTTAGCACTCGAAAGACTACTCAACACTATCACTCTATTGACCACTGTACCATTACTCCATAGGCTACTGAACCCTATAAGCACTCTATAGAATACTTTACTCTATCAGCACTCCATTGACCACTCTACCCTAGCAGCACTCTATAGACTAACCAGCTCTATCAGCACTCTATACTCAACTCTATAGTCTACTCAACTCTATCAGCACTCTGTTGACCACTCTACCCTATCAGCACTGTATAGACTACTCAAATCTATCAGCACTCTATTGACCACTCTATTCTATCAGCACTCCATAGGCCACTCTACTCTATCAGCACTCTATAGTCCCACAGTACCAAAGGATTCTGTGCACTCAACATTGCCGTCCACACTATCTGCGCTCTATAAATACATGGCATCCACGGAGCTCCTAGTACCCATCTAACACTGTTTAGACGTCTAACACCCGTCTAAACATTTCTGTGCATGTTTTTTATAGACCTCTCCATTCTAATGGTATTCTGTGGACCCACCCACAGTGTTTGCACACTTTTTATGATATATATCTGCTCGATTTCCATCTTGCATATCAACTGTCACCCCACATACGTTCCTCTGTCTTCCCACGAAGTGTAACGAAGCGCAGCTGAACACACCCAGCCAGCAAACGTCCCCAGAGATGGTTATTTAGAGAATCCGTCCAACACCCATGTTGTCACAACCTCAGCCTCAGTTCGTCTTCCTCTTCTGCCTTTCTCTTCTTGTTTCTGAGATGGTTTCCCCTTCTAAACCACCATTTATCAGTGAAGCGCTCAAGAGAATTAACTTGAATGGTTAATTTTTAACATCAGAAAAAAAAAACCTAAAACCTTTATTTCCAGTTTATGAGTCACCAGAGCAACCCACAAACTTACATTTTCGTCTTCAGTAGTTAAATTTGAGGTGAAGGCAGACACTGGAACGAAATGTATGCAAATGTATATGATATAGAACGGTGCGCCATACTTTCCTTTAAAGAACAACTCTGGGCAACGTGAGGACATCAGTGGTAGTTAGACCGCCGTAGCCTAGGGGAGAAGAGGCTCTGGAGACTGGTCTGTGTTGAGGGAGTGACGAGGGATTACAACCCCTGTCAGGTCTGTGTCCCCATTAAGAAGATTCGTCCCCCTCTATTTGTCCTGGTGACCGTTACCACTGACATTGAAAGAATATCCCAAATTTTGGGTTTCCCCAGAACAGGAATAGATGGACTGACCACCAGGGATTTTCCTCTATTTGGAGGGATTTCCTCTCACTTCCTGTTGTGGTTATCAGAACAGGTTATTCCCTCAGGGAATTGTTTGTAATGGATCTCAGCTGCAGATGTGGCTGCTTTGGACTATCCACAAGGAAGAGCATAGTAAATGTCCAAGAGTTAACTAAATGGATGAATTACCTAAACAACAGCAATCCCAGGTAGGAATTGTTCAGTAATCTGTATTACTTCATACAGCTTAAATATCTATAACGGAAATACTCTGAATATTCCTGTACAGGGATAATGAGTCCATTTACCAACACCAGTAAATCACCAGTGCTGAGAATAAGGGGGGAATTTATCAAAACTGAAGCAGACAAAATCTGGAGCAGCTGTGCATGGCAACCAATCAGCATCTCTCTTTCATTTTAAAATCTTAACTGAACAAACTGAAGAAAGAAGCTGGTTGGTTGCCATGAGCAACTGCTCCAGATTCTGTTTGCTCCAGTTTTGATAAATTCCCCCCTAAGAGTCAATACAGGTTGATATGATTACAGAGTATTCTTGAGGTTAGCTCTGTTGGATGCACACGGAGGTGTCAGTGGGAAATAGCGTAAGCACATAGCGTAAGCTTCCCTGAGTACTTGCAGTGTGTACATGAATGGTGAAGATGGAAGATCAAAGCCTTGCAGAGCTTGCAGGGAAGACGTACTTTAGTTTTAAATGCACAGCGAGCTCCTTGATGTGCACAGTGGAGGTGAGCTATAACCCAGGATGGAGAGTGGAGGGTAAATTGTGTTCCTTTATGCCCCAGGATGGCGAGGGTGGTTGCCCATGTAAAGGCTACAATACAGGATGGAGAAGGCTAATGTAAGTATTGCTGAACGATTGCTTCTCAGGATGGAGAGCGGTGTTGGCAAGCAGGGAAAATGCTCAGCGTCTGCTTCATTACTAAGACACAGAGCATTTCAAACTTCCCGGCTTAAAACTGACCCCTGGCTAAATGGAGACGGAGCGGAATGACACAGAGGGAGTAGGTGGTGCTGGAAACCAATCCCAGAATGACGACTGGTTATTACAGTTGCTGACCAAAATACACCACGTCATGAAACTGGTATTTCCTGATGGCAGTGGCCTCTTTCAGCACAATAATGCGCCGCGCCACACCGCAAACATGGTTCAAGAATGGTTTGAGGAACACAATAATGAGTTTGAGGTGTTGACTTGACCTCCAAATTCTCCGGATCTCCATCCAATCGATCATCTTTGTCATGTGCTGGAAAAACAAGTCCGATCCATGGAGGCCGCACATCACAACTTACAAGACTTAAAGGATCTGCTACTGACGGCTTGGTGCCAGATACCACAGCACACCTTCAGAGGTCTAGAGGAGTCCATGCCTGGATGGGTCAGGAAAAGTGGGACCTTCTCACCATTAGGCAGGTGGTCATAATCTTATGGCTGATTGGTGTATACTTCCATATCATTGCCTTATCCAGACATGGCTGTAGTGCATCATAGGTTAACATGGTGCACCCGCTTGTGTCCAAGGACGTATGTTGTACGGCTCAAACACCAGTTGGCCAATGACGTTGTGTCAGGACACACAGCATCATTGGTTGCTTGGAAACAGAAGGAGGTTCGAGGGACAGACGAACTGGCAAAATTGCTTGCCTGTCCGCAAAACTGTGAGCAGCTTGGGTTCAGGTCAGACTCACGGTCAATTTAAACCCAAAGCCCATTCTTATCTAAGAGCCCTAATGATGAAGAGCAGCTTATTGTCTATTTAGTCCATCATGACATTATACTTCCTCCTCCTTCTCCATCTGCAGCCATGTATTCTGTGTTCAAAAGGTCACCTGGGTGAAATAAAAATCCCCTTTGTGGAATGTGTGAGGTCACGGCGGTGAATATACCAACACCGGGCCAAGTGAAATCCCTAAACAGGAAGCACAGCCGTTCACCGGGGGAGGCTTTAGTCAAATATTTGATCACTTAGAAAATGATTACTTTCTACTCAAAGAGAACGCACATTTTAAAGGCATAGACCACTTATTTCTATAAAAGTATATACTGTATGCACCTGCATTGATTAAAAAAAAAACAATGTGCTTTTATTGAAAGGTTGAGTGTTCTGCGCTATGAAACAGACCCCAAGGGGGAGATTTCACAGAGAGTAAGGGTTAACCGCAAGCTGCTGAAACTAAGGCCAGATAAGCCTCACAAAATGGTTTTAGAATAGTGAGCGCTATGGGTCTCCTGGAGTGAAGTGAGAATCCAACAATGACTTATTAAATAAGTGGTATAAAAATATATCTGAATATCTCTAAGTGAACATCTTATAATGTGAAATAAAAATTGCTGAAGTGATATGTGAATAAACAAAACAAAAATCAACAATGTAAATCGACTAATAAAATTGCTTAAATATAAATAAACAAATAAATCTTCAATAAACCGTGTGTCCGTGATTTTTTCTCTGATTTTTTCTGTATTACAGTGTACATATAACTGCGTCTATCATCATCTGTGATGTGCTGATAGATATGCAGTGGTGTATCATAAACGTGTCCTAAACTTTGAGGTTAAATAGTGTCCAAAAGTACTCCAATCTAAAAGAGGCAAAAACTTGAATGTGTATATCCAAGATGATCGTATCCTGGGGGATGATGTGTCGGAGAAGCGATGGGTCCCCGTAGGGCTTACACTCACCAGATGCCGGGAGGGAGTCAGCTTTCTCTTCCACCGTGGTGGCTGAAAGGAGATGGTCTTTGCTCCGTCCTTCCGTGGGATCCTGCAGTATACTTTCGGTCCTGGTCCCAAAAAGAGATGTCGGTATCCCGATAGTAACAATCCCCTGGTGATGGTAAGATGCCCTTTGGATTGCTTCCGGGAGTACGTCCTAATTTTAGTCTCTCCGAGCGTGGGTGCTTTGGATCCAAGAGAAGTTTAGAAGAGGAGAGAGAGAGCAGGCAAAGGGCTCATAGTGCATTAAAAGTTTAAACTTTATTGAGTCATTGCATATGACATATAAAAACCGCAAAAACTGCGCGTTTCGTCACCTGACTTTCTCAAGGTATCGCTAGCTAGCCATACCTTGAGAAAGTCAGGTGACGAAACGCGTCGGGAGGCGGGCCTGTTGCTTGGGACACATCCACAGTCTAAGGATTACTGGCTCTATAGCAGACTAGCCAGTTTTAGTCAGTTTTATTATCGGGATACCGACATCTCTTTTTGGGACCAGGACCGAAAGTATACTGCAGGATCCCACGGAAGGACGGAGCAAAGACCATCTCCTTTCAGCCAC